CCTAGGCTGCCCCAAGCCCTGAAGCTCACATCAGATGCTGAGTTTGGGACTTGGCTCTCCTTGGCGAAATCATGAAAAAAGAAAAAAAAAAAAGCTGCTCTCACTTACAACAGTATGGCTTCTACAGGGTCCCTCCAAAACTTTCAACAGCCATATGTATGAATTCTACAGGTTAGGTAAACAAGGCAAGAAGGATGAGCACGTGTATGAGCTTCACCTTTGATGTGGGAATTCTACACAAGGTTAAGCTTGAGGGCGGTGGAAACAGTGCACCATTGGCGTTGTTGCTTCATACACTCGCTATTACCACTCTGAATACTATCTGAGTATTGCCTAGATGACTGCTCCCAAAGTACTTGTCGAGCCCTTCCGAAGGCCTGCCTGCAACCTCCATGGTCCATGGTGCAAGACACAACGAAGCCCAAAGACAAAACTGCTGTTCTGTTTTGAAGTTGTAGGGATCCCCTTTCTGAGCCCTGGCAGCGTCTGACGCAAGGCTTATTCGAGGCACACCACATGCTCATCCGGCAAAACCCTCTCAAAGCTACTGTGCATGACACCTAGTGTGCCCTTCATTCTCAGAGAGCAAGTGCACCAATATCTTCTAACCTCAACAATGCCCTGCACTCCGTTCAAATTTCTCGTAAAGGTGCCCTGAGGAAGCGGAGGATGCTAAGGATACCGTAGATGTCGCTCTGACCATCACCTGGGTATGTCTCTGAGACATTAAATTTACTAGTGGGTTTTGGTTACCCAAGCACCCTACAACACGAGTCTTTTTGGGTCCGTGTTATAGGGACTAGGATTCCCAAAATCATGTCATTCAAAAGGCTTAGGATTTGTAGCTTAGGGTTTGGTGCCAGTTTAGGGGTTGGGCTCCAGGTTAGCTTTTACAACCACTCTTGTCAGCGTTGCAGGAATAATACACGGCTGTTTCGGAATTACTTGGGCGCATCACTGGAGTTTTAACGATGCGTCTGCCGTTCTACAGGCTTCTACAGTAAAAGGATTCCACAGGGCCCGCATGAGCAAGATCACAAACTTCTTATAGAAAGGACGCCAGACAAGCACTGACAATGTTGACTAGTTTCTAATACAGTTCGATCAATCAATCAGCCTTGTTCGGCAGAATTGCAGCCCATCCCTGAATGTAGAGAAACGCAAGGGAAGGTACAACCGCATTGTCGCTTCTAGGGCTTGGGATCTATGGGGCATCTAAAGCTCCTGCAGCCCTGCAAGCCCACCTGTGGAGTCGCTGGGAAGCTGCAAGGCCTGCGAACACTGCAGGAGGCTCGGAAATGTCTGTGTGTGGCGGGCTCAGGCGCTTTTGGATTCTCACTCCCTACATGGCTGCATATAGTTCCTGCGGCAACTGCATTGCAGAACTATTTTCTTAGGGGCCCTGTGTTTGAACAAGATTGCCTTCTCAGTCAACGCAAATCCTCTTTTAGCCAATTCGCCCGATAATTTTGGGCCCCGACATCAGGGACAACCTCAAAACGGGCCCATTAGTGGAGACTTTCCCGATTTCATGTCTGAGGAGGCTGCGGTGCGGGGTTGTGCTTTTCCTACAAACCAAGAACCGTAAATCCTAAACCCCCAAACTGAAATCTATGCACCCTAAGCCCTAAACCCAAACCCGGACCCTGAACCTGCACCATAAACCCTAAGCCTTCAAACTTACAATCCTAAACCTGAGACATTTGAACTCTAAGCCCAGTCAATGAACCTTTAGACTGAAAGCCAGAAACCCCAAACCTGAAATCTAAACCCCAAACCTGTAAGCCTAAGCCCCAAACCCTAAAC